GTTTGATAACCATTTCGTTTTTAATTTTTAATTTATATTTATAAAAATTTTGAAAATTGTTATAAAAATTTATTTGATAATTTTTTTGATTTATAAATGATTGTCTCAGCTTATAAATTTTTAAAAAAAACTGAAATTCAAAAAATGAGTTTACGTTGATTTTTAAACATAAATTTAAAATTTTGACTAACAAAATTTTTTTTTTCAATCAATTTTTTTTCTAATTAATTTTTTTAATTAATTTTTTTTCAATTATAATATGTATGATCCCATTGTCAGAAATAATAAAAAATAAATATAAATATTTTAGGCCTGAACAAACATAATTTTTAGTTTATATTTTTTTAAATTTTTCAAACATTTTGTTCAAACTAAACGCGTTTGTAATTTATGTTTTTTTTAAAATAAACAAAAATCAATTTATAAAATTTTTGTAAACATAAACTAAAAATGTAAACGTTACCAAACGGAAGCAACTCCTTCAACTTTCAAAGTTTGATTTTAGAAAAAAATTACATTAGTAATTCTTGCATTTTCTTATTATATCAATTTAGAAATTTACAATTTTTACCAAATAAGCACAATCTATGACCATTATTCTATTTCTGGTCATAAATTGCTCATGTGTGCAAGGTGTGACCATTTTATAAATTTACAAGTATAAAATAGACAAATCACACACATTCTCTCTAAAACAGTCAAAATCGCACATCTGCCTCTCTTCCATCCTCCAAACCAAAGGATGACATGATAAAAAGCACAATTGAGAGTTGATCAATTTCCTATAGGCTGTACCATTTGAGGAAGCATTATAACATGGTATCATACCAACTATGATTTTGATATTTTCATTGGATTTGACATAGCTCATAAGGCATTAAATTAAGCTTCCATTTGGGAAGTTGGTTGACTTTTTGACTTTTTTAATTATTTTAGCCTGGACTAAAACGCTTGGTTTAGAAATTTTTTTTTGACTTTTTGACTTTTTTAGTTTTATTTGTGAGAGAAAAGTATAATAATTATGGGTTAGATGTGATATTTTGTTTGTTATAGTTAAAATAGTTTATTTTATCTTTTGTGACTATTTTAACTATAATCTAACTTGCCAAACAACACCTCTTATCTTTTCAATCATTATTGGAAAGAAAAAAAAAAAAAAGAATAATTTCATAGTTAGCCATTCAACTTTATAAATAAAGGATCTGACTCCTTTCTCTGGTTTGATTGGTGGGTCGTGGTAGACCTTGATCCGGATTTATTTTGATACTCCCTCCGTCCCAAAATAATGGTCCCTTTTGGGGAATCCAACTTTTTTTGGTAGTACAATTATTGTACTTTTAAAAAGTTGGTTTTCCAAAATTACCCTTTGATAGTACACTTTTTTGAGAATATCAATGTCATAATTGTACTTTTTATATTATTTATGAATTTAAAAGAAGGGCAAAATGGGAAATTTATATTATTTTTGTACTTAATTTTTGAAGAGGGACTAATATTTTGGGACAATGAAAAATGGAATAAGGGACTAATATTATGGGACGGAGGGAGTAATTTAAATTATTTAATGTGTAAAATTTGTTGAGTATATTATTTTTGTAAAAAGTTATATTAATTAAATATTAATAGTTATTTGATCATATCATATTTTTGTCACAATTTATTTTAAAAATTATATTTACCATTGATAAGAATTGTAATATGATAAAATGTTTATCGATAATCATAATTTTTTAACAAATAATATATTCCACGGGCTCTATATATTGTATAACTTGAATCACAAAAATATAGATTCAGATTAGAAGCCACTACAGTCCAATTGTATCCTCCAATCCGATGGTGGAATGGCGAGAAGCCAATCCATATAAAATAAAGAATAATGCTTGGAACCCCTTTTTGGGGGTCACCCCCTCACCCCCCTTTGTCACGTGACGGGTGGTGATTGGAGGAGCAGGAAAAAAAGAAAAAGAAAAAGAAAAAGTAACCAATGAGAGAGAGAGGGGGTCAAAGGGGTGGGAGGAAAAGGGGATGAATCATTGTTGTAAAATAAAAGGGCACAAAATTCACAACCCATCAGTTCAAAAAAAAAAATAAATAAATAAAATTCTCATCCCCAACTTGATTTCATTGTTTCTTCTCACATTGGTGGGCCCTTATACAACAAAAAAGTCAAGTTTGATTGCAGATTTATCCAAAAAATAAATAAATAAATAAAAATCCATAAAAATAAAAATGCAACTTTTTGTAAGTTTATATAGCTTCCGTTTGGAAAGTGGATTAATTTTTTGGCTATTTTAGCCTGGTTTAGGAAGAATTTTTTGATTTTTTGACTTTTTTTGTGAGAAAGGATTGTAATGATTATGGGTTGGATTTGATGCTTTGTTTTTTGTGGCTAAAATAGCCTATTTTGTTTTTTGTGGTTATTTTAGTCAAAAAAGCCTGACTTTTTTCTTCCCAAACGGAGCCATAGTATATAATTTTTTTCATTTTTAATAAGTAAAATGTTTATATGTAAGTTTAATAATTTAGCTTATTTTCAATTTTAATAAGTTTTTTAAAAATTGACTCAAATTTTATTAAACTTTTAGAATTCAGACAAAAAATAATTTTTTTTACTCAAAGTAGAAAATTTTTTTTCAAAAGACAAAAAATAAATAGAAAAAATAATTTGACTTTGTAACTTTAGCCAAATGAAAGATGAACTGAAAATTACTTTACTTTGTACTTAAATTATTAACTTTTGACCCAAAATTGCTACTATTAAGTATTGTAAATCAATTATAGCATTTAATTATTTGACAAATTGATGTTGAAACTTGGGGAATGTTAAGAATGGTCAACCATTGGGCCAAGCATAATTGTTTTTTTAATGGTATGATAAATATTTTTTTACCTTTGCATAGTGTGAGTCAACTGCAGGTACAATATTGATGTTTGTCGTCATCTAGAAGCATTGGATTTTTTTTATTATTCAAAATATAAAAATATAAAAAAAAAATGTACTTTGTTTGCTAATAATGACTTTAAAGAAGATGTTTTCATGGGTCTTTATTTTATTTCATTTGTGATAAAACTTTAACTAATTGAGCAGTCTACTGGGTTGAATTTTGGATTTGGTAAGTTGGCTAACTAATATATCTAATTTGGATATTGGTTTGACATTGATTGAGATTGTATTTACAAAATTTGGCCAATGTCAACTAATGTTGTGTTTGGTTAGGGAATTTGGGGAGGAATTTAAAAAGGGAAAAGGAAAAGGTGTGTGAAACTAGGTGAAATACATTTCACCTAATTTTTCCCTTTTCCTTTCTAAATCTCTCCTCAAATCCTTCAACCAAACACAGCGTAAATATTTTTGGTTTTGCTCATATTTTCAAATAAGGGTCATGTTTTACAAATATGAAATTTATTAATAATTTTTATATAGAACAATATGACTGAATTATGACCTTTCACTTTAATTTTTCTTGGTTCGACATGGATGTTGTTGGTTGTGTAACAGGAAAGGGGAGAAGATGGTATAAAATATACTTTAGCTTTTAACCCATTTTGAATAATATCACATCTCATATTTTTTACACACAAATGGCAAAAAAATCAAAAAATCAACTTTTAACGAATTTCTCAAATAACTTTGGAGCAACCAATATACACACAAAAATAAAAACAAAATGGGTTTAGGTTTTGAATTTGTAAAATAAATTTGTGAAGAGAAAGAAAAGAAAAATGAAAAATGGATGAAATAAAAGTATTTTAATTTTTACAAGTTTTTTCTTTTATAAATCCAAAATCTAAACATAATCTTAATTTATTGTAAATATGGTATCAAAACACATTCAGTTGTGCAAATGAAATTATTTTTACTTAAAATCAACTAATTCAATCTTTTTTTGAATAATAAATGAACACGATTCAGGTTTTTCCTGCGCACAAAGCATAACAATTTTGTTCCCTCAATTTTAGATTGTTATCCTATCTCTTAAAAAATTTACCAAACTTGAACCATCAAAAAAATCATAATTTGCATATTATTTTAGATATTCCATTTTACAATCCTATTAGTGCAATTATATAATTCATTCAATTAATTTTTTTTTTGAGACAATTAAACAGTATTAGCGTACGAAAAACTTCCATTAAATCATTAGAAAAAAGCTTGGGACTCCCAATTTGAGAACTCCATGACCTCCAAATATGTGCGACTGGTCCATGTGTGTTTTTGTTTTTGTCTTTGCCACTCTCTCACATAAGATAATGTGAGGATTGTGAAAATCTCAATCATTACTCAAATCATTATCACCAGAAAAATAGGGCTTTCAGTGTACGAAAGACTTCCATTAACTGTGACCCTTCACCAAAATGTCAAACCCTATCTATTTTACAGCAATATGAACAAAATTTCATGAAAATATTGATCTAAAGTCAACTGTATAATTGAAATGAAAAAAAAAAAAAAAAAAAAAAAATAGGGTCAAGTGTTTAATTGTAATCAAGGAAGCCCTCTCTTCCCTTTGTATCGGGAGAGGTTGTAACTAAGCTCTTTGGATAATGGACTTGTTTGAAAACTTGACTATTTTAATTGATTTTTTGATAAAAAAGTTATGTTTAGAATGACAGTTAATTTTTTTTTTTAATAATAGATTTGATATTGTGAGGAAAAAAAATTAAAAAAATTAAAATTTAAATGTGACATTTTATCTTATTATTATTTTAATTTATTTTATCTTTTATCTTTATTAGCTAGAGCCAGCCAATTTATGTATTTTTATGAAAAAAGAAGTGTTTCTACTAGTATTTCAAGAACTCTATGGTCCATTTGATTAGAGTGACAAATATGATAAAAGTGGAAGTGAATCTGTAAAAGAAAGAAAAGTGAAATATATATATATATATATATATTTGGTTAATGTGATTTTTTGTGAGAAAATAATAACAATTGACAACTTTCAAGAAAGAAAAGGGAAAAAAGAAAAACATTATCACATGGAACATCTAGATCATTGCCACTTCCAACCCTGGTCCGAAAATAGAATTTAAACCAGTAAGCAAACAGCTCCATTGATGAATGATGCATATAAAATCATCATGTCCAACGAAAGAAAATAAAAATAAAAAGATGGTCACATTTAAATACATGAAGCAAGTATGCATAGAAAAGGTCTCTAATATATTTCACACACAACCACAATGGTTATATGTTTAGTCCAAGGATAACCGCAAAATTATTACACAAAGTAGCTTAAAAGACATTCTAGGAAGGAGCTACAAGGTATGATTGCACCATTACCTGGTTTCGAACTTCTTTAATTCTTCTTCACGGTGGCCGACTTGATGATGTCAATGAATTCAGGCTGGTAAGTATGAAGGGGGTAAAAAGAGTCAAGTAACCGAATTCAGCGAAAAAGAACCAATTGATAACAAGTAATAATGCTGTAATAAACAAACAAAAAAAAACACCTTTAGGGAAGCTCCTCCAACCAAAAATCCATCCACATCTGGCTGTGCTGCCAATTCTTTGCAGTTTGCTCCATTCACAGAACCTGCAATTAGCATATAAGAGGACATTCATGAGAGAGAGAGAGAGAGAGAGAGAGAGAGAGAGAGAGAGAGAGAGAGAGAGAGAGGGGGGGGGGGGGGAGAAGAACAATTTTTTCTAACCTTCAAAACAATATAAGAGGTCTTCTATATATAGAGGGGAAAATTTTTGAGCTCAAATTTTTCTTTTTTTTTTTTTTTCTGTTATTGCAGTGAACAGGGTTGGATCAAGAATTCGAGGGAAGGCAAAAACACATGTAACTTTTAAATGAAAAAAATTATTACAAAATTTTAAATTTTGATTTATGCCAGCACAAAAAAATAAATAATATACTATTACACATTCATCGTCAACATAATTAAGAACAAAAATATAATTGAGCATATTTCTTTTGTCTGCATTAGCTTAACAAAAATATTAACTATTATCATGTCTCCGTCAACTAAAGTTAACTATTTAAAAATGTTATAATCACTACTTTTATAATATATATACATATAAACATTTATAATAGACTCGGCATCAAAACCTCAACTATCTTTCTCAACAAATATGATCATTTAACTTGTTACAAAATTTGCTTCCATCTTATTGGTTTAGTTTAGTTTTGAAGAGTTTTACATTGAAAATGTATGTTTTTATGAGTATAATGATAATCCGTTTTAATAAGTGGTATTAAAATTAATGAACTTCTTTTTAAGAATGCTATGTTGAAGTAGAAAATATTTTTATTTCCAGATAATATTCTTATTTCTAAAGAATTAACAAATAAGAATGAATATAAAATAAGATGCACAAACAAATTAAAGTGTGATTTATAAAAGGAAAAAAAAGAACATAAATCACATATGAACAAAAAACAAAATTAGTAATAAATAAAAACAAATATAAGACAATAAGTAACTCTAAACAATATAAAAATATAACAAAAATACAAATAACAAATAAAATAGATCAACATTTCATAAAACTTGATTTAGAAACTATTTTTATAATTTTGTAATGTGAATAATTTTGAGGGTGCAAATTATTGAAATTTTGGGGGTGCGAAGTACCATAGTTTGAAATTATTTTACTAATTACTACTATAATATACTTAATTTTTAAAGCTTTTGGGGGTGCGGCTGAACCTGCTCGCATCCCCCTAGTTCCATCCTTGGCAGTGAACCCCCCAAGCATAGCTACTAACCCCTGCAATCCTTAATTTATTAGCTTCCCAAACAGGAGAGTTGACCTTATAATACCGATATGGGAACCATGATCAGTTAGCTGAGACCCTAAAAAACCTAACCACATTTAGTTGGTGAGTACCATAATCACAAAACCAAAGTCCAGGCTTCAACTTTCAACATCAAGAACTGACCAGAATTGACTCAAATAGTCCAGGCTTCAACTTTCAACATCAAGAACTAACCAGAATTGACTCAAATAGTCCAGGCTTCAAATAGTCCAGAATTGACTCAAGAATTAACCAGAATTGACTCAAATGGTTGATATTAAATTGGCACCTTACAGTTAGTATATAAAACAAAGTAAAAAATATGTAAAAAAGGGTATTGGATTAGCAAATTGATAGCAAAAAGGACAAGAATACCTCCATAGATAATTTGGGTTGACGCCGCAACTTCAGCACCAGAATTATCCTGAAGCCATTTCCTCAATTCAAAATGGACCTGGAATAAACGTACACCATTTGTTATGAATAGACTATGTCAAAGAATTACTTGAAGTATCCAAGTAATAAGAAAATAAACATACAAGAATTTAAAAAGTGATAAAGGAAACATCATGAATAAGTATTCAATGTGGATGCAATAAAATGGGATTGCTTAGCAACAAAAATGTAGAAGTGGCTCAGCCCATACAATAGGGTATTGCTACCCTTTTTTGGAGTACAAGAAGCTACTATTGAGCTATCAAATGGTCAAATGGTTGCCTCAGTACATTGGTGAACAGTCCAGAGGAAAGGTAACTGCCTAGCTTAATGCTGTGTTTGGTTGGGGGATTTAGAGAGGGATTTGGAAAGGAAAAGGGAAAAGATAGGTGAAATATGAATAAAATATACCTACATTTCACACACCTTTTCTCTTTCATTTTCTAAATCCCTCTCCAAATCCCCCAACCAAACAAGCGTAAAAGAATTCTTATGATAAATAACCTAGCTTGAATAGTAATTGTCAAGTTGCACAAGCAAAGCTAGGTGATGGCCCTGCTAGTAGCCAATGAAACAGCCCATAGATACTTGCCAAGGAGAAATGTGTTGTATAACAGACATTTCATAACAAAAGGAAAAACTCTGATAGAACCTCTGCTACGTATAACAAATCAAAAAAAAGTTATTGCGTAGTGCATAAAGTTGTGAAAGACCCAAAAACAATTGACTACATAACTGACATACAGGAAGAATCAATACTAAAGCATCAAACCATTTTAACCATTCCAATGTGGAATCGGAAGAATAAGCTTTATTAACAGAAATTAACTTCAAGTGCAGATTGTCCACACTATCAAAGCAGAAATGAACTTCATAGCAGTAGCTTGATCCATCACAAACATCCCCAAAAAACTTCAAAATTAATAGAGACAGAAACTACTTGGAATATTTTCTTTTGCCAAAAAGCTGACTCACATTGACACCATTCTTTGAACTAACACCAGAGCAGCATCTCATGGTTTAATGAAAAGGGCTAAACTAAAACATGATTGCTTGTTTAAGGATCCCTGGTAATAAAACATTGAACTCAATAAGACAACCGCCAAGACAAGAAGGAACTTACTTCCTGAGCCTGAGCAGGGGTCGCAACCTTTCCCGTTCCAATGGCCCAAACTGGTTCATAAGCTATAACAACATTCGACCAGTGTGATATTCGTTCTGCAAGAGAACAGTTGAAAATTATTCGAGATGTATTTATGAAGAAATATAGAATTTTTTCCAGCAAAAAATAACTATAAAATAAAAATAATAAAAAACTGATAAGTGTAAAACCAATAAAAAATATTATATCTGGAAGATCCAGAACCAAAACAACTAAAAGAAACTTGTATTTCTCAGAAGCTAACAGTAGACAATAGATTTTTTTTCTTTTTTTTTTTTTTTTTTTTTGATAAATAACAAGAAAATGCTGGTGGTAGGAATATCTGTAGAACCCACATTAAAGCAAAGTACCAGGCTACCATATAATTGCTTGCGTATTTTGGTTTCAGGACAGTAGATATCTATGTACCAGCAATTGCGTTCGTTTGTGCGGCAACTACAGCCATTGTAGATCCTGATTCTCGCTGCTCAAGGGTCTCCCCAACGCAGGCAATCACCTTCAAGCCCATTGAAAGAGCATATGCAACTTTATCTCCAATGAACTGCATTAAAATTCCAAGTGAACCAGATTCTAAGAAATAAATGGCAGATCACTCCATATCTCTGTTATCAGAATCTTACGATTCGCGATTCGATTCACGATTCGATTCACATTTTTTGCAAAATCGATACGAATCTATGGGTGAATCTATTTTGGAAGTAAATCTCTAGTGAATCGCACGATTGTGACACAACATTTTGTGCGGCACAGCATTTTTCATATATAAGAAGGTACAAAAGTTACCTCACTGGATTCATTTAATAGAAGTCTTCTCTCAGAATGACCAAGAATGACCCAAGGAATGCCCAAATTGACAAGCATCTCAGCACTGTCACAATAAGAGAAATCACTTTAAACACAAAAAAACAATTAAAACCCACATATTGCAGCAAGTCAGTTGTTCATGCACAAAGATCCATCTTTGACTCAAGCAAATAGCAAAAGAGAACAAATTGATTTTCTGCATTACATTAAATTAAACCTCATAATTAATAGTATCACACAACAAAAGGTTCAAATGTTTAAGTGATTAATTGTCAAATCGGTTTCTATTTCCTTTTAATGGATAAGAACTATTATGTGAAATATTCAGCTAAAAGATAGTAGGCTCCAGACCACCTTAGAACATTACACAAAGTTGAGCAAATGTAGCCCCAAGTTGAATTCAGTAAGTAACCAAACCAAACCAAGCCTTAAGTTGAATTCAGTAGGTACACCAAATTATTGAATATCCACAAAAATAATGGAAATTGTATATGGAACATACAAGGAATAGGTTGGGTAAAGACGAAAAGAAATGTCCACGTGCAAACTCCAGATAAGGAAGCTTAAATTCAAGTCAAAACTATAAGGAAAGAACACTACATGAATCTTCCAATAACTAGAACAGATGACAATGACAAAATGGATAACAATTTTACAATACAAATGACAAGCTTTTATGCAATGAATCCATAACCACTTGTCACAAAGAATTTCAATCTAAAATATGACGAGGCAAGGATTCCAATGAACTGGACAATGGGATCAGATCATGACATACCTAACCTCACCGGTAAAAGCACCTCCTTTCCGAACCCAACAGTTTTGTGCAGCAATTTGGAAATCAGAGCGCAATAAATTTTTTACCACAGGAAGAAACACAAATGGAGGGCTTACAACAACCTCTGCAAGCAAAACACGTCCATGCCATATCAAAACCTTGAAGACAAAAAATAGTTAAACTACAAGAACATATAGATACACCCGTGCAAGAGTCCACAAGAGAGAGAGAGAGAGAGAGAGAGAGAGAATACAACACCAGGAAACTCAGGCAGAATTATTATTAATTTTTATCGTTAACTTCTTAACGAAGAAATGTATTCATTGAAGCAAATCAAGCTTAAAAACTTCAAGGAAGTATCCATTGTAAATAAATACAATAGTTAAGATGAACTGAATGGAAGCAGGCTACATGACATAAGTTGAGCAGGAACGTATAACTTGCAATAAGGGGTGTGCATGCCTATTTCCCCTGTTTAATCTAATTGATGAATCTATAGTTTTTCCAACATAAGTATTCAATGAGTATAATGCTACAAATTAAACCTTCTGTTATATGGTCAAAACACTTCTAGAAGATGTAATACGAGTACACTACTATGAATATGCATAGGTGGGTCCTCGTAAGGTCAGGTTGCCTGTGCCTCGAGAAAAGCCCAAACCAACTGTTAGCGGATTCTGAACCAAGTGCAACCGTAATTTTAACACAAGCTTGTTCTGGTCAATCTAGTTCAAGCTCAACCTCCAAAAATTTGGCCCCAAATGAACTTTATGTTTACCAGCATAAACTAATATAAATTGTGTACTAAAAAGCTCGACCAGTACACAAAGATTTGCAGTCAATGAATTTAATAATTTTTTTGATATTGCAAAATCTGAATTTATGAATATTATGCATATCTCAATGTTTCACAAGAGGATGCATATGCGTTTATCCAGCAGAACGTTACATAACATTGGGCCCAAATGGACATCTCATTTATATTCTTACAGTAGGGAGTGCAATCATAGCTCTCACCATAGCACCCAAAATCAGAGGGAAAAAAGCAAACAACTTAGTGAGTGAATGAGCTAATTTAACATTCCTCTGTAAAAACAAGCATAAGACACCCAATGCATTACTCTCTCATTGCCAAATTACGATCTTTCGAGAAAAGATCTTCTAAACTTTAGGGTATATAGAGATTGCATATCTAACATCCAGAAAACATGAGGATTTCCACTGTGGGGGAGTGGTTTGGAAATACTCTTCAGATCCTGGGGGACGCTCATAATTCCCAGCTAGTCACCTGAAAAGGAATGAACACTCCGGTCGGGAGTGCCGGAATTAGCACTACGATGGATAAGTCAGCATATACTCTCTTGATTACTTGTATCTTAAGTTAAGCATACTAATTCTCACATACCTTTCTCTGACTGATGATCCAGTATTTATATTATTCTCTTTGGGCCCTAGGGTCAGGCCCATCCTCGATCTTTTACATATACTTCTACTCAGCCTTTGTTCACTAGTTGGAATGCTGATTATTTTATTCGACTCTTCAATTGACTAGGGTCAACGCCGAATAAATATTATGTCCCGGACTGGACTCGTCCATTCGTCCCTATTGATCCAATGAAATTCGGCTCCCACAATTGCCCCCCAAACACCCCACTAACATCAGTTAGTCGGCGTGTTTGGCTTTGAGCCTGGAAAGTCAAAAATTCGGCAATTAATCCTCTTTCCAATGCATGTCAGAACGCGCATACGCTTTTTGGTCACTATAACGATTTTCCGCCCCTTCGTACTCTGCCTCCATTTAATGTGATTTAAAATTGTCTCTTCGAATGTATGTTTTGAATACTCAAAAATACTTGGTTTGCCTTCTAGTGCAACTCCTTCATTTCGCGGCTTCTGCAACTCCTTGTTCCTCGTTTTCCCTTTCATCTCCTGTAAGTCTTCTTCTCCTTCACTTCCGATCCCACTTCCTTGTTTGCTTTTAGTTTCCCACAATCCTTGGGCTGACCAGTATGGCGAAACATCTAAAGGAGCTCCTTTTAGCGGATCAAATCTCCGGCTTTCGATGCCGTTTTTCCATCCCCGACGACGTCCATCTGTCATTTTTGGTAGACAGCACCACTGATATGGAGAGGGAAGATGAGAGCACAATCGTTTTTCCTCTCCTGTCAATTGCTGAGGGCGGAGACCGCTTTCCCCTCCACCCATTTTTTAGGGCCGTTTTTCAATACTGGGGTCTAATCCCTTCCCAGCCCAACGTGAATTTTTTTCGCATCATAATGGGGATTGTAGAGCTAAACCGGCGTCTTAGGATTAATTTAGGTATACCCGCCATTCGGCATTGTTATGTCCTAGCCAAATCTACTGGCCGGCTAGGACGCTACTTTCTTAGAGCCAAGGATATTGATCATCACTTAGTGACCATGCTTGCCAGCTCTAGCAAGCGTGTCGATGACGTGATGGTCGTTGTCCGAGACAATTGGGAAGTCGGCGAAGGTGAAGATCGCCTAAACCCCGTGCCAAGGCGAAAAGGCGAACCAGGTGGCCGATTAGATCACTTTTGTTTCTGTTATTACAATATCTGTATTCGACACTATATACATCTAATCGCTTTGTTTATGCAGGCAACGACTTGAAGAGAGTGTTGGTTTCAGGCGATGACGCTGTGCTTGCAGAAATTAAAACCGCGCTACAGTTCGTCGGCCGTCCAAACCTTCAAAAACAAGGGAGGGCGGCCCACATTCTCCTGCGGTACGAGCCAACTTACACGACATTCTCGGCGGCAGACAACATTTCGATCCCACCAGGCGACAACCATCTTACAGCCCTCATCTTCCCCAGCTTCAAGAACTTAAGACAGATTGGTTTAGAAACATCCGATTCTGAACACGTAGAAGAACAAGTGGCCGAACCAATCGCCGAGGATCTGGACCAGTTGGCAGTGGAAGTTGACAAAGCTCTTAACTCAGCCTTTGAGGAAGCCGGACTTAACTCGTCCGACCCTCCGTCAACATCAGGCCAAGGGGACGCCTCCTTCGAAGATATTTTCACAAATTTGGGAGACCTTCCCAGCGCTTATTCTGAGGGTATGGCTGGGGAAAATCTCACGCAATTGGCAAGAAAGAGAAACGCCGAACGCATGGCTGCCCGACGGAAAGCCGAGGCCACCCGTTCTATTCCTGCCTCGACTAAATCTTCCGAACCTATTATTGTAGAAGAGACGGCTCAAGTTCATGTGGCCGAGACAGAGAAGGCAGAAGAACGGCCGATTCCAGAAGAACGGGGAGAAAAACGTGCCGCCGAGAGCGAGGCCGGCTCTGAGGAGGACTTCGTTGATAAACGGCCACGCTTAGAGGAGTTGGGTGTGGTTACTCCTTTTGTTGTTGAACCAAAGATAAAAAACATGCCGATCTCCTTTGAAGCGTCGACCTTGACAGATCCGGTTGTGGCGTTGAGCTTGGCTGCCTCGGTCTCGTTGTCGGTTGATAAGGCAACCTTTCGTGAGGAGCCGGATTTGGTAGCAATAGCATTAGCTGCCCAGTCGGCTCTTCTGGTAAGTGACTTGATCCTAACTCCTTGTTTTGGTTCGGTTTGCAGACGGTATTTCTTGGTATGAGACAATCCTAACTTCTTGTTTTGCTGACGGTCGAAAGGATAGCCGAAATAGGCTGCCGCCAGCATGATGCCATTGAAAGAATTGGTCGTTTGAAGTCAGAAGTCGAGGGTGAAAGGAGCAGGGCCGAGTTCAAGGCAGCCAGAGCGACAATGGAAAGTGCACGGGCCGAAGTTGAGAAGGAAAGGGCACGGACTGCTGATAAGCTCAAATCGGAAGCCAAGGAGAGGGCAAACGCGAGCTAGGAATCGCTCAAGTTAGCCGAGGAGGCGCTTGTTAAGCTGGAGGCCGAATTGGAGGAGTCGAAGAAGGCGAAGGAAAAAGCCGACTCCGAGGCTTCCGAAGCGTTCGAGGCTGGGAAGAGCGCCGCCCTTGCAAACTACGTAGAAGAAGTCCCTAAATTCGAGAATTCGGGATTCAAACATGGCTGGCTCAAAGCCCTTGCTGCCGCTAGAGTGACATTGGCTATGCCAATTCCATACGAGCAAGTGGACGTTGAGCCGCTTGAGTCTGATCTCGAGGATTGATTTGGGGGACACTTTAGTTTTGTTAGGTGTTTTGAATGTATGTTCTTTGTTAGTTGATTTTCATCTTTTTTGGATTTTCATGTGTAAAATGTCCGCTGTTAGGGCCCAATTTATGAATGAAAATTTTCTATGCTCTCAAGTTATTGCTTGTATTGTTTGTTATATGAGTACATAATTAAAAGAATCAGCAGTTAGAACAAAATGTCACGACTACGTGAGACGGCAAACTTATTAGCCTATTAAGTTAATAAATTTGATTTATGACTGAATAAAATGAATTCATGAGGTGCTGATAGGTCAGCTCATAAGGCAGCTAGGGTACATAAGCGGATTAGCTTGACGAATCTGCCCTTAGCTGGTTCATGAACAAGAACACCAAATAACGGAGGTTCATGAACTAGAACGCCGAATTAAATGAACTTATGAATATTGTATTGATAAATCGATTCTTGAAGCAGCTGGGGCACTCGAGCCGACTGGATTGATGAATCTGCCCTTACCCCAGCTGGTTCATGAACATAGAACGCCAAATAATGGAGGTTCATGAGTATTGTACTGATAAATCGATTCATGGAGCGGCTAAGGCACTTAAGCCGACTAGATTGATGAATCTGCTCTTGCCCTAGCTGATTCACGAACTTAGAATGCCGAATAAAATGAACTCATGAATATTGTACTGATAAATCGATTCATGGAGCGGCTGTGGCACTCAAGCTGACTAGATTGATGAATCTGCCCTTGCCCCAGCTGGTTTATGAACTGGAACGCCGAACAACAGAGGTTCATGGAGCGATTGGGACACATGACTCAATCGGCGCCGAGCTGTTGAGGTTTTAATATTAATGAGATCGTCTCGGAGGTGCTGCCCCCGTAGGGAATAAATGGGCGTGTACTTCGTGAATGAAGGTCCTATTTATATGCTCAAAGTCCAGTTCTTTGAGGAAGGTTAAACAAGTGCGAATGTCAAATAGACTTTTCTTTAACAGC